GTTGCGGTCATCGTCACACTCCGGACGTTCATAATACAGTATGTATGCATGCTCGCATTGTATTCAGTGTATTGTATCTACGAACTAGTGCTTCTAATGGTAGTTTAATGACCACCTAAGCATGCTCTAAGTGTTATTGAGTACGATAAGTTGACTAGGTAACTGGGGGACTGATCTAGGTAACCTAAGGTGTCCCAATCAACTAACTACGTGTAACTAGGCGAAGTTATATCTAATTAGCCCCGGAGGTTTTCCCTGATGGGGGTGGTGAGCGAGGCGTGTCTACGGCTATGTCAAGGCGTCCTAGGCCTGAGGAAGGCTAACTGTCAAAGTTAATGGATTATGCTCTCCGGTTCCCCCGTCATAGCCATGCACAAAAGGCTCGCCAATGTTACTAATGATGCCTGTGCATGCCCCATGGTCGACGTCAGACTCGGAGAGCCTAGGTTTAAAGAGGGAATTGTAGCGGGTCAAAACTGGAGGCCATGCTCAAGGATGTAGCTGGCGTAGGTAAGCTTTCGCCGGTGCACACGCCCCGGCCACGCGGCCGAGACGGTTGTCCTCTCGCACATGTACAGCCTGCCGGCCGTGCGCGAGCTCGCGCTTTACGAGCTCCTCCGCTCCGAGGGCTTCGCGTAACGCGGTATCGGCGGCGGCGCGTTGCCCGATGGCACGCTGCTCGACGGCAGCCGGCTCCTCAACCGCGACAAGCTCAGCCACACCGACATGGTCCGCCTCGTCACCACGCGCGAGAAGCTGCAGATGGCCTGGATGCTCCTCGTCGACACCGCCCCGTCGCCCGCCGCATTCCCTGCATGCACCAGTAGACGACGTCCGCCAACGCGGCCTGCAGCACGTACACCGCCCGCGAGCGCTGCGCCGACGCGTGCCGCAGCTCGGCCCAGATATGGGCAGAGTGGGTTCTCGACTCGGGCCTGTTCGAGAACTAGCCTGTCGTGGCTCTCGGTCTTGGACTAGGAGCACCGTTCGGGGTTCCACAGCGCCTGTGTCATGAGGAAGAGGCAGCTATAGGCGCACAAGATGGGATAATCTGGATACCTGGCTTGGTCTTTAGTGGCATGTTCAAGATAAATATGTGGGTATTGATGGCTAGCTGGTATTCATGACCAGTCATCTACTATACGGCACATCATTATCATCTTCCTGCAACTGGCACGGCAAGGTAAACTACAAGACTGCAAGCTATATATCTGTGGATACGAGTCTCCCAAATAACTTAGGCATAACGTGCAGAAGCTGGAGTGCGGTGGTGGACAGGGCGTTGCCTTGGCTACGCCGGGGCTGCCTGAGGAGGACCGATAACGAGGATCGGTATTCAATGCTCTTTAGTTTCTTCGTCACACCCGTGTACCAGGGGCTCTCCGATATTACCGATAATACTTGTGAGCGCCCCATAGTCGGCGCTCGAAAGCGTAGGTTCAAATGCGGGAATTACGGCGGAGCAAGACTGGGTACTCGGCTCGGAGCGCACTTGGCGCAGGTTCAACATGAACCGGCTAACCAGGATTGGGGGCTGAAGTCTGTCAGTACTGTGACCGTGTTACCGGCGAGTTACAACGCTCATACCATTGCCGCTATGAGCGGGGCCACAGGACCGAATGTCTACAAGCGGGTCAGCCTGATAATGAAGGCCCAGGATATGAGGACTTTGGCTCACAGGACGGCGTGTCAATATCTGAGCGATATTCATAAGTAATAGCGCACTGGTTTGCACGATATAATTAGGCATCACATTAACTGAAGCTGCCGATGGAAACTTACAAAAAATAGACGGTTCCTAGGGTAAGCGATTTCAGTCAACCGTTAGTACCGTGCCATTTCCCACAAGACTCACCATCACGGAGCAGACATGAGGAAACTGTTGGTGGACGTTGAGATATAGGGATATCTTTCCAATATCCGAAGGTTTGCCGCCACGTTACAGTGACTACCAGCAGGTCGGCGATGATTTGCGAGATTCGAGTAATGAGAGAGACTACAGAATAGCATGAGTGCATTCAGAGAATACTGAGGATGCTACTAGTATGTCCCACCACTGCAATGTACGCTCAGGTTGCCACAAAATAGTCAAATAGAAAACACGCTACATACATTAAGGATGCCTTGTTTGATATGTCCAGAGTTGTATTACAGCCCGGTGATACGTGCGTCTTGGACAAGATAAACTAAGTACCGAGATTATAATCAGCGATGAGCTTTCACAACTTATATCTTGATACCTACCGCATTAGTTCCAATGGGTGTAAGGCCCAGTCCTAGGACCACCGCTGCCAGCATACGATTTCCGCCAGTAATCGCATAGATGCGCAGGGCGGAGAAGACTGATGTCTAAACATTTAGCCTGAATTCTTGCAATATGATGTAGAGCTTACCAGCAACTTGAAAGTAGCCGGCAAATGTAAGGACGTCAAATATGATGCCAAGGACTTCGCAGCTTGTAGGGGTCGAGATTAGCCACGAGTGTTGGGCAACATTGGACAAGTTAGATACCTCTGTCGCAGAAAATAAATAAGGCGACATTGTATCGATTAATTTACTCACTGTGTAAGACGAAGGTGAGATGTTCGATAATATTGCGCTGAGAACCATGAACCAACGAGTCGAGAGGAGTAGTACGGAGCTGGCGGTCCACTTCCGCCGCCATACCACTTGCACCTCCAGGTCCAATGTAATGAGGTACTCATAAATTGTTAGGGCTGAACATTTATGAATTTGAGGATGATTAGGAAAGCTTGTGCATGCCAAGAAAACCTAAGACTCACCTGAAACAGCGTATCCCATTCTGTCTGCCACTGCGTTCTCGCTGAAGAATCCGATAAGTGTGAAGTTCAATGAGGATGCAGACTGAACGAAACTAACAATTGCAAGGTAGATATATTCTCTGTTGAGTTGTCAGACATGGTAGCTGTCCTTCTCAGGAGAAGTGGCGGGGGAAGGGACCTGATGGCTTTCGGTGCAGCATGAACCTCTAAATACAAAAGGGGCCTGGATACCGGCTTTGTTGATAGGAGAACATACCTCGACGCACCGCCTGTGCAGATAATATTCCGTATCATGCAGATGCTGTCTGATACTAATACGAAGCGGCATACTAACTTCTCGTAGTGAGGCAGTATCTCCAAGAACAGTGGATACCGTGCTTCTCGGAAGTATCAGCCGCTGACCTGGACTTCCGGCTTTTCCTGACGTTGCCTGACCTCGGAGGAAAAGCTATGCTTAGTCCATCACAGCAGTCGCCGCTGATCATATAAGGCTAGGATGTTTTCGCGAGATGGTAGGTTAGGAACGGCAGGAGCGGGGCGTTGCCACATAGAAGAAAAGACTGTGGGGCAGCGGCCCGGATCCCCCCAAATCCTTACAGCGTCTATACAAAGTTTATTTTAGTGTAGGGATTGGGCGCACCATATTGAGCAATGAGCATGCCACAATCTAAATATCTGTTCGAAGGCGCACGAGCAGAGCAGAGTGAGGCGCGGGGACAAAGATGGAAGCCACAGGGTGATCCGCCGGGTTAGACGATCTGGAAACCCGGGCTGGCTTGCAGAGCACCAGTATCCTTGCTTTCTCTTTGAAGTTGTTATACACCGGCATGTGAACTAGGTAGTAGCCAAAATGACAAGCAACGTAGGTACTGAAGTTTTGCTAGTATTAATAATCGGCCATCTACAATACGGCGCGTCGCCATCATCCTCCTACAACCGGCGCAACAAGATAAAATGTTAGGCTACAGGCTACAGATCTATGGATACAAGTCTTTCGAGAAAAATTTGTGCATAGCGTGTGGGGGTTGGAGCAGAGTAGTGAGCAAGGCGTGTTACGGCTATGCCGAGGCATTCTGACGAAGGTCAATGATGAATGCCGGTGAGGTACGCTCCTCTGTTTCCTCGTCATACCCATGCAAAAGAGGCTCGCCGATGTTACCGATGATGCTTGTAAACGTCCCGTAGTCGGTCTCGGAATGCCTAGGGTGAAATGAAGGGATTACAGCGGAGTAAGACTGGAAGCTCGACTTGAAGTGCACTTGGCGGAGATTCAACATAAATCGATTTACGAGAACTGGGGGCTGATATCTGTCAGTACGGCATTATCCGATGTAGCGACGAGCTTACCATCGACGTGAGGAGCACAGATACAGGGTTGAATGTCTAATCGATGCTTAGTTTGGCGGATTGTAAGGTGTTGACTTGACTTACAGGATGATGTGTCAGAACCTCGGCGACATTCACAAGTAACAAGGCCCTGGTGCACACGATAAGGGACCACTTGATATTAAGGTACGCTATCAGCGCGAACTCACAGAAAGTAGATTGTCCCTAGAGTAAACGGAGCTGCTTAGTCGTCTACTCTCTGTCACCACTCACGCGGCTCACCATCACGCAGTAAACATGACGAGATGGTTGCAGTGGACAGAGGCCTAGAGATTTTCTTCCAATGCTGGAAGGTACTGCGCCACGTTACAATGACCACCAGGAGATCGGCTAGGATCGACGGTAACCGACAAATAAGACCAACTATAAAGCCGTGTAAGCACGTCCGAACTGTGATGGGAACGACAAAGCCTACAGCTGCAGGGTGTGTTAGGGTCGCTACGGGGGTTAATGGTACGGATTCGACGCACATTAGAAGCGTCTCGTCTGAGAAACCTAAGACATTGTTGCACCCGGAGACAAAATGCGTCTTGGTAATTGCAAACTAAAAGCAGAGGTAAAATCAGCGGTGAATCATTGAGAGGCCTCAATACCTGCCATGTTGATACCGATGGGGACGAGACCCAATCCTAGAACAACTGCCGCAAGTCCACGCCTCCCGCCGGTAATCCCAATGACACGCAGGGAAGAGAAGACTGGTGGATAAGGCATAAGTCTACGATTCTGGTGTGATAGTGTCGTGCCTACCAGCAACCTGGAACCAACTGACATACAAGAGAATGTCACTGACTATCTCGGTGACTTGGCAGCTTGCAAAATTGAGAGTTAGTTAGGTGTTGAGCGGTACCAAGCGTTATCAGGTACCTCTAATTGCGACCAATAAGCATGACGACCTTACGCCAGCTGACGCACTTACGTAAGGTAACAGAGCGACGCATTGAGCCATGGCGGTGAAAATCATCACCCAGCGGATTGAAAGAAGCAGCACAGAACTGGCGGTCCACCTCTGTCGCCAGACCGCCTGCATCTCCAGGTCTAATGTGATGAGATATTCGTATATTACTAGCGCTAACATTTTCATTTGTTAGGCGGGGGAATTAGTATTGGTCGTACAAACTAAGCGATCTTGCCGCTGACCTGAGACCGCGAAGTATATTTCCCGCTCCACTGTCAGTTCGCTAATGATATGAATGAGCGTCGCGCGGGCGAGAAACCGCAAATAAAAGCGATACTTACGGCTGCAAGGTAGGAAGACTCTCCATCAAACCCTCGGACATTATGGTAGCCTTTGCGAGAGCTAGGGGACGGATAAACTACAGCCCGTTATGCGGCATGCGGGCTTAAGAGCAAAGTGGCTCGGATACTAGCAGATTTGTGGGAAAAACTCTCTTGATATTCCGATCGGGTGTATGGAATCCTGTATCATGTGTAAGATATCTGATTTTGATGTGAAGCATCATACTTACTTCTTGTGATGAGGCAGCATCCCAGCGGACAATGAGCACCGCGACCTGGACTTCCGGCTGTTGATGATGTCGCGGGAAAAACTACGAGCGGCCTATCGCAGTAATCGCCACCGGCCATCCGAAGCTCGACTAGTTTTGCGGCGCGGAGGGTCGGGATCGCAGCAGCAGACTGTTGCTAGTGCACAGCCCCAGAACGGAAGATCAGGAAGTAGCGGCTGGCACTACGGAACTACAGCCTCTCTCAGAAGTTCACTTCAGCACAAGGACCCCTGTGGTCAACACAACATGCTCCAGATGTCTGTTCGACAAGCACATGAGCAGAGCACAACGAGGCGCCGGAACAGGGATGGAAGCCACTCACCGGATCTCTGTTTCCACAATTGGTAGAAGGTAACGTTTGGAAGCTGTGTAACCTGGCCACGGAATGTGATGGGTGCCTTTACGGGCACAGCCACGTGGGCGTCTACGAAATTTCGGCGTACAACAGCGAGACGACCCATTGCTACAGTCCATGTAACTTCCGGACAATACCAAGCAAGCACGAAGCTCAAATAATGGAATGCAGCGTGGCTGCAGTCATTTTAAATGCCAGAAGCCTGATTCATGGAACCTAGCAGGTTCAGCCAGTTCCTAATGCCAGCGCCGAGCTAAAGCGGAAATGATGGTTTGCGAGCTACATGTACGCCTCATCATACGCCTACACGATCATATTGCGTGCTTGAGGAGCGGCCTGTCAGCGACACAATTTGCTGATATTTCATGACATACAGTTTGGAGCGCCAAAGACGCACTATGACGCGCAGTGCATCGCTTCTCATCCAATTCTGCACATACAAACGAAACGTGCGTGTATCCCGTTTGCTATCTCTATAATCATGAATGACCAATCTCCGCCGGTAGATGTACGCACTTCAAGATTGCGTAGTTACTGTTGTCTTGTGAACGCTCCAGTTTGTCACGGTTCTCTACTTGACTCACATTTCATATTTGCTTGCGGACCTTATTCTCCTTGTTTTTACCTAGTGGAAGAATGTTACAGACTAGAAGATGCTCTACATGTTCAGGAACATCGCAACGTGTTGCATCTCTTACTACAAAATGGTGCGTATCTTCGAGCTCTGCTGCGGCACATGCTGAGACGGTAGTCACGCAGGGACGGTATATTTCTTGTACGTCACCTGTGGCCTTGTCTCTACGTAAATTTTACTCACCTGTGGCAAAGACTGACGTTGTTCATGAAAATGGCACAATTGCTGGCCTACAATACAGCAAGTCGTTTGATTTTCATTCCGAGGCTTGTCGCGTCAATGTCGTTCTGCAGTGCTCGAGCTCCACGCCTGTCTCTGCCATCACCTAGATTTTGGTACGATTTTTGCCCACTGTGCTCAGACTCATTTTATGCGTGTGCAGCCACTCATTCTCGTCAGCCGGCCCACGCCGAACCCCCGGGGGACCCGTCAGCCCACCGGTCGGCAAGGCGCACGGCAGGACCCCGCCACACATCAAGACACCGGGATGCCTCGGACAGAACGGGGACCGCTCTCAAGCATCATAGGCAATATTGGTGAGGCACTCGACTACGGTGATCGGCTTGCACTTGAAGATGAAGGCAACGGGAGAGTCCTGGAGTGGATGTTAGAGCAAGGTATGATGCTACCGTCATACGCGTATGGCCTGGAGGCCTGTCTCAGGTAACCCGACGTGTTTCGGGCTGGCAGAACGGAGGATGTACAGCACTCGTGGCCACCGGGACAGGGCTCAGGATGAGAACGGCGGCGGCAGGAAGCCAGTTTTTATCAAAAATGACGAATATTCGGAGGGACAAAAATGCTACGAGTATGGGATCAGCTCTGCGGAGTTCGCCATGATGCCGAAGAGAGCATACCTGCGGTCTGCATGAAAGCCAGACAGGTGAGGGCGGTGTTTATACGCAAGGTATATCGTCAGCTGGAAACCAATGGTGTAAGCGAAATGTCCACTACAGGTTGAAATCGTACCCCTGCGAGAATCAGACAGTGAGACACCTCCGTTCCTAAGCAGAAGGAGAGGTCCTGACCTCAAGGTTTTCAGAAACAAGTGGTAGCATTGCCAGGGAAAGCATAACCTGGCGCGGAGATATCAGGAGTGTAGAGGACACAGTTCACTTATCTATCCAAACAACCTTGACTGCGGGAACGTAACAATGTACTCGTAAAACGCCAGAGCTATTCGAAGCAGGTCAGTGCGGCGCTTATGCCCGGTTGGCTCGAGGGCGGGCCCGATATCGCGGCAGCTGTCCATTCGCCGGCAAGCCTTCGAAGATCAGAGATTGTAGTAGGTTGTTGTTTGAGAAAGAATGCAGAGACTTACAGTTAATACATTGCAGGAGCGTTGGCCATGTCGCTGTTCTATTGGCCGGTAAGGAGGTACGGGTATGGCTGGCGGTCAACATAAGTATCCCTCAATAGTGAAAGTAAGGCTTTAAACATTTCAACTTGGCGTGTTGACGTCGAATAAAGATTCTGCTGTACGTACATGTTATGACGGGAGATACTCACTAGATGCCATGCTCGCGCGCCCTCGGCGTTACTGATGAACATTGTCTTCCGTCACCTTTGTCGGGGTGATATAAAGCCGACAACGAAGTACATGCTGTGCGCCGCGAATATTGGGGGACAGGGCTCACCTTGTGGAGGACGTCAACTGCTGCGTACGCGCCAGAAGCGACATTAGCTCAAGCATGTTGAGTTGATTGACGGATCATTTACCTGTGCAAGCGCCGAAGCATTTTCTCGAGAGATGCTGCGAGATGGACAGCCGCCACAGCGCTGCTGCCCAGACTCTTTCCGCCCATCGCTATCATGATACGCAGTGACCAACAAGACTTTAGGGGCATCTGAAGGATCTCTCGAGCAGGTAGCTGTGCATGGAAAGGTAGCGAATCACTAACGCCTCCTTTTATGAATTGGACATGTGCACGTAAACGCGCGCAGCAACGACGGTCGGCGAAATCCCACAGGTTGCCATGTGCACGAGCGTTGAAGTGAGGCAGGGAGCGGGAACTGCTATCTCGTCAGAATCGCTTCTCGCGAACAGGATAAACCACTCACATGAGATGACAGTCGCTGTTGGGTCCGGCAACTGGGAGCACAGGCAAGATGTCAAGGATACAGGCTGCGCGATGGATGTTCTGTCGGGCTAGAAGCATGATGAGATTGAGATACAGTTTGAACGGGTATGCACTCGAAAAGCTAGGAACGAAAGTTTAAATCGAAAGTCCGGTTTTATACAAACAGCTAGTGAATACAAGTTAGGGCTGTGGAAGGAGAACAAGGCAGCTTTGAGATATCGGGGCTCGGGATTACGGATTCTCGACAGGGGTAGGGGGAATATAGGGCGGAGGTGCATCGTAGGCGTGAACAGGATCCCCGCCAGACCGTCTGCGGGCGGAATCGTAAGCTTCTGTGTCGCTAGCGGCGACAATGGGGAAGAGCGCGTGGGTGACGTCGTGGAGGGTACGCAGGGCGGGGTTCGCGACGCAAGCGTCGCAGAAGTCAAAGTCTCTGCACACGAGACATTTGTGTCTCGTCCCAACAATGCGGTTTTCGCAGCCGTCACAGAATGCGCGATGCACGTTGGCGGCAGGTGTGTGGGGTAAGGTCGAGCGCACGCGGTCGTATCCGGTGAGGTCGCCGGGTGAGTCGACGGGGTAAAACTGGTGGTGGAAGCCGTGCTGCTCACGTACCACTGAATTAGAGAGACACTTGTCGCAAAAGTCGAAGTCGGTACAGTGGAGGCATTTATGACGGACGCCGTGGATACGTTGCCTGCAGCCATCGCACGTCACGCCAAAATGCTCGACACGTCTCCGAGCTGCCTGGACTCCGAGGAACGTTGACATGTCCATTCGAGACTGAACAGGGAAGAATGAATGCTGAGGATTGTGCAACTTTCGCTTTTGTGAGCTGTTGGCACAGGGTCCGCAATAGCTGAAGCTTGGACAGTCCAGACACTTGTGGAAGGGACCGACGATGCGCCTGCTGCACCCGTCGCACGTGGTTTCACTGGAGCGCAATGATGTACTGCGTCCAAAGCCGTCCATACTGCCAGGTGCTTCTATGGACTTGAAGACGTGGTGCGGATTGTGTGCTCCTCGAAACATGATCATGCACGACGAACAGTAGTCGAAGTCGTCGCATGTAGAGCACTTGTAACGAACACCGACGATGGGATTGGTCCTGCAGCCATCACAGTGTATACCGTAGTGCGCAGATGCCTCGCCCGACGATGACGGTCCCCATCCTTCGGAGAGCACAGCTAGGCCTGGCATCTGAAGGGAGTATATGGGTCAGGAACGGGACTTCAGGAGATTGAAATCGCATATTGAGCCAGAACTAGCGCTGCACGCACATTTATGTCGTCTCTGGGCCTTGCAGGGAGATGAGCCGCAGGTGTGAATGGACGTGTCGCGCAAGTTTGGCAGGCGGCAGGCTTCATGAGAAATTGTCACGTGTTACTTTTGATGCGTTTGACGCGCCTTGAACTTGGGCGTCTGCTCTCCCGCTCGTACAGTTTGCTCTTGGCTCACAGCCCCCATTCAGACTTGGCCGAACGCGCTGCGGCATTAGCCGCCACCAGATCCTCTTAATACGATGTTGCCGAGCAGCTCGCGTTATAGTGGTCACCCTATTCCCTTTGAGCGGCTTCTACTCGCCCAGCGTTGTTCAATGGTGCCATCTCGGCCAGGAGGTGAGGCCGGGGACGACAATGGACTCGAGTTATGATGATAGAGTATGTTTCGCCTTTTTCTTCTTTTTTCTCAGCTCCATCTACCTGGCTAATTGTCCTTACGCCAACTAAGCTTTAAGCATGAAGTACGTTCACAGAGTATCCTTCGGCAAGTCGTCCGCCGTGGAAGGTCCACGATCTCGCCGGCCAGTGACGCTTTCGACAGACCATCAACCGATGATCTTACTCTCATCTTGCCTGAATGCAGTCCGCCCACCTGCTACCCGACCTCCGCATCGTGCCAACACCGACAGTGTTGATTCATACAAGTGCCAGCACTTTACCAGCTGCGAGTGTGCGGCCATTCGCACCCACTCATATTCCTAGATACCAGTGGCAACCACCCCATATATTCATGATTCTTACTCAATGATAAGCCCTGTGTTCTTATATATCTGGGCATGCGCATTAACCAGTGTCTTTGAGTCTGCGATCTGCAATCTGTTGTCGTGAGATGTCACTGCTAACTTGTCCTTTTGCGAACGGGTAGGCATGTCGCTTTCGATTGTGCGCATGAAGTACGTCAACATATCCTATTCAGCCTCTCGGGACTAACCAGGGAGTGTCGGTGGTGTTCTCCCGGAGCTGCTGTGACTTCCGTTCAATCGGCTTGCCGCATGTATACTTTCGCACCAAATGACATATCGGTGCAGCGTCCTCCAAATAATGACATCGTTTTATTCGTCGTGCTATGGTGATGGGGTTGCTGGAATATGGCTACTTGATGCTTGCGTATTGGGCGAAGCGTAAGAAGTTAACGAACGCCATGAGGCTGCATTCAAATCACAAGACAGGGCTCTTGTGTGTAGCCACGACTACTGGGCTTCATCCCACTAATTTATCTTATCACTACTAGGGCTCATTGGCATTCGGACATACAGCCCATCCACATCAGTCGCGCTAAGAGTAGACTTTCGAGTTGGCCGCCGTGGTTACTCGTATGGAAGCAGGTGGGAAGCTCTAGCTAGAGTCAACGCACTTGACGCGGCAGAGGCTTACGGCGGTATATCAGCCCGACCAATTCAAGTATTACGGGCTGAGGGGTTGGGTGTCGCTTCTCGATGCAATGCCGTAGAGGTCGGACTCAACCGCATGGGTATCAATCACTGCGATACCTGCGTCAATCAGAGCAGACGGGCCTTCCTCAACATACCTCGCGCGTTCTGTCACGCTTGATGACATGGACAACTTAGAGTCAGTAACCACAATCTCATTCACGGACTATTTGGTGAGCCCTCTTTTCCTTCATGCATTTACGGCTCTTCCTAGACAGTCCGCCGGATTTCCGCTGCCCCGCGGTGGCGGCTATTTTATACTGCGCCCCATGCTTCCATCTCGGTCACTGCCCCAATGCCATAGCTCATATCGGCACATCAACGTTCGCTGAGCTATGGTTGTCTAGCTACCCTAAGATGCCATTGATGGCGCACAGCTCATCAGCATGAGGCCATGATTGAACTCAGACTTCATCTTGATGGGGATGCTGCAGGTACTATATATCGTTTAGCGAAAGACATCCAACAGATTCAAATGATTGTTCTGTCACAGCTTCATTATTGGAGCTAGCACCCCGGAGTAATACTTGCAGCTGGTGGGAGCAAGATGCTGTTGGCAGTGGCCAGTCTGAGACCAGGCATTTGTCATGATGTCATACCTTATGACATTGACGGTGAGCATCAGCCTGTGGCAACTTGAACTGACTTGACTTCCATCCCTGGCGACCCAGCCTCTGTGCCTCCACACGAACCGTGTCCAGCATGACGAATACATCCAGTCTGCATAGCGCGTGAGCAGCTGCAACTTGTGTATTCTCTCTCAAACATGCGATTTAATTCCGTTGTAGGTTAATCGGAGACTGGATTGCCGGTGGAGTGTTTGGTATGTTCATTTAACATTGGCACTTGGAACCTTAGTCCTTGACGTCGGAGTTGCCAGCCCTGACTCTGTTTGAGTACATTATTACGCTTGGGCAGGAAGTAGGCGCTGTATGGCAGAAGACTTGGACGGCTACCTCCGTGCTTCTGCTCTCAACTCGTTGGGCGATGATTGCCAACGCCTTTCTATTTTTAGCGCCTGTGACATCGCAGGTAAATCCACCGTCGCGTCACTTGAACCCAGAGCCAGTGACACCTTTATTTCCAGAAGTATGATCACGCTGCATAATGCCTGCCATACCCAACTAAAATCGTCCCTAGTTGCGACATTGTTGTCTGGATAAGCTTAGCTGTGAGCTGCATCATATATTTTCAAATTGCCAGTGCGTTTTACTTTTACTTTTTTTGAGACACGTTTCTCTGCGTTAGTTAATGCAGAGCTCTGGACCTATGCCTTTTAGTATTCGCCGCTCTTCGGATATATGTCATGAATCCACGAGCAATCTGGCTACCTGCCACTGGGCTTCTAATCGGGCTAGTTCCCATAGCAGCCGATAGCGTATGTATATTTCTCATATTTGAATTATAGTGAGGCTAACCATCACGTTTTTTCTTTCTTTCAGTTTACCGCTTCCAAGACACATCATGACACATTTTGCATAGGTACGCAGATCATGTCCACCCCCGAGAACACTACGTACGTTGAAGGCAGCTTTAGTGAACACTTCACGGCGATCTCAACCGGTCTTAGATGTATGCATCTCGCGTATTGATCACGATTCCACGTGTGTCTAATGACGAATTTACCCCTAGTCTTGATGCTCACACGGGGATCTGCCGTCATTGTGGAATCTCTAGTCTTCCTCCTGACGTGGCGAAAGACATTCCATCAATGGAGAACAGCAACAAGACTGAATATAGCTCTACCATTCTCATCTTATCTTCTACGCAATGGTGAGTGTGTCACCAGTATGCTTCCTACAAATGCACCTCAATACAACCTTACACTTTGCAGGCATGTATCACTTCTTGTGAGCATCACTCTCCATAACTTCGTCGAGACGCTCCAGATCAAACTAATCTGGTGCAGAATGCTTCTACTCATAAATGTTGCTGAGATGATCATATATCAATGTGTGAGTGGCTTAGCCGTCCCTGAAGACTGCTCAGTTCTAAAGACAATATCCAAGCCTTTCACTCCCTCCGATTATCTTGCGCAGTTTCTTGTATGGGATTATTCTCAGTACAACGAATGAATTACTAATCCAACATTTTTGCAGCCACCTATATTGCTCAGCCGATTCCTACTCAATTTGCGTCAGACCTCCTTCGGTGCTAATGCTAGTACAGACAGTCCTGCTTATTCCAGAATTATCGGGAATATTGGCGAGGATTTTGAAGACACAAATATGGTTGTGTTGAATGAGGACGCCGTCGATGGCGATCTCGAGAGCATATGAGCCTTGGCTGCTGCATGCAGGCCGAAAAATGGGAACCGGCAAGTATCAGCTATCTTGTGCATGCTTGAGTACTAACCCGCAGCCAGCTGACCGAAGGAAACCTATAGTCTTCTGCTGAAACCACGGCATTGGCATCCGGCTCTCACGGCGTTCTATGCCAGTAAATTGCAGTGCATCTGTGGCTCTCATTATGTATTATAATTTATTGCTATTTCTTTTTTCTGTAAGTACCGTACATGTTTGTGCGGCGAAGTCAACAGGTGCAGTTTCCAACTATGAAGCTCACTTGCTACTAGCACAGATAATTGTGAATATTTATGTCATCAGTTGGAGGCGACATAGGCCGAATTTTCCTGACTGTACATGCTTACGTGCCCGGGCAAACGTTACAAGCTCGACTTCTGCCTTAGACTCGACCGGCTCGTCGATATTTTCGTTCGCAGCCTTCGCGTCAGCCTGCATTCCATCGTCGAAGAGCGGTCGGCAATCGATGTGCTAGGTTCAAGCAATGTGAGCACTTCGACTTCACTTCCGAACCTGGCGACGACGCAAACGTGCCTAGGGACATCGCTGCGCACGATTGGCGCATCTTGGGGAATGTCAAGCAAGAGCACAAGCCGCACAAAACATCCTACGAGATTGGCGCGCGAGCCGCTGACCTCTACGTCAGTTTTGTCTCGAGCTGGAGAGGACTTGGCGCACCAAGGACTCGCAGTGTCGAGAAGTTCCACGACAGCATTCGCCTCGTCGACTACGAATGCGGGGTTCTTCCGGCGGAGCTCGTGCGTCACGCGTTTCAGGCTCGTTCTGCGCTACTATCTTTCGGTCCTCTTGCCGATGGCCGCGCTGCCCGTAACTTGCAACGACATCGCCATTCTGCACGACGTCGAAGCCACCGTCCGCGAAGTTGAATTTTTTGACGGACGCGAAGAACCCGAGCGCGGAGAGCGGTAAAGCTCCAGTTAAGAAGACGACTGCAGAGCAAGGCAGTGATCAGGGGGTAGGTTTGGAAAGTTGGGGACTGACTGGGAGATTATAGATACGTCACATTAGTACAGCATCCACAGGGGTAAGATGACCCACGAATACACTAGCAGGCCAGTGACGAGTACATTCAAGCCCGCCGTCTGCCAGTGTAGTACTAGTCCGGAGATGATAGGCTGCTGGCTGCCCTCCCAATGTCGTCCCTGGGCGCTGGCTCACCTCGTCAGTCGGACCACGGCAAGAGCAGCGCCACGAATAGGTAGGGCTGATTGACCTTACTCATGTCCAAGTGGACAAAGTGGCGGAATAATTCCGTGCTGGCCCGGAGGCATCGTTCCGGCATTCTCCGTTGAAGCGCCGAGTCTCGCTAGCGCCCGAGCTGCGTCTTCCCACCGCACGTCGTCACCGACATCCGACAATTCGCGCTATATACACACCTTGTGAGGGATATAATGGCAAAAAGAACGCCCGTGGCATGGCGTCGCACACAACGCTGGGGTAAATGGGCGTAGTAGATCTTTGCGCTGGTCACATCGGAGTTGCGGGCACAGTCCCTGCGGTCGCGATGCGGTGTCGTCCTGGTATAATGTTTGACAGGTGGACGAGTGAGCTTTTTTCACTTGGACGGACGCAAACCCCAGCCATATGTGATGAAGCACGGACGAAACAAGCGGGGGAGTCCTATCTCCGTGCGCCGAATTAACACACGACTGGATTTCGACGCAAGAGAACTTGAACTCTGGGTTATCGACTTGAACATCCTGCAAAGATCGTGGATAAATAATGACAACAGCGAGGCACGTTTGAATCAATGCGCTATTTCTCATCTTGTCTCAACTTTTTTACCGTCTCTACGTATAGATACGTACAGCATACATCGATGCAAGCGGAGTATCTCTACTCGGTGTACGTCGTACCCACCAAACTTTACAGCTGCGTGCATAGAAGATGGTTTTTTTTTCTGCTTATATGTCGCTGGCACGGTGAGTCACACGGTAGGCGTATGTCTTAGCACATCACTGCTCACGTCGTATTCAAGGTCACGATAAACATGTTCGTGAGGATGCAGCTCTCCTACTTCCAACACCCACTAGTATCCCCTACTTGTCATGCAGCCGGTATTATCGGTGAACGTTAATTCAGCTCTACCTCGTACCCGGTTCATTGATAAGGCGGCTCCCGGCTTACGATACCCGGACAATGGCTGCCACGCCATCTACTCGCTGCATCGTAGTACGTCTTATCCACGTTTCTCGCCGCTTGTCAAATTATCCACGAGCAATCTTCTGTAGTTACTAGAACTCGCGAACCGCTCAGCGTCGGCATTTATGGATATTCTAGGTACGATCCGCCCTGCCAGTTAAAGAGACCCGCACCATAGTTTCCCCAAGTACGACCTTTATCCGCCTGCGTACTCTCGCCGCCCCACTGGCCATTGGTGCCCACCAAGCTCGAGACGGCTCGTCTACCGGCTCATGTTTACGACACTCAACAGCAAAATATGAATTGCGCTTGTCGTGCCTCAAGGTCTTAGCTGTAGACCTTGGCATCGTAGGCCCATTCTGCCCCCAGAACCACACCATTATACTCACGCCGGCATTGCAGATCACGTGGAGGGCAACAGACCTCATGTAATGATCGTGCAAGTTCCCACTCGTGGCGCTCTACTTCGATACGGCCTTCGCGAGCTTCAACGCAGCGCGCGGCTACTCGCGCCCGGACCGGCGACGTACCCGGTGCAGGCAACCTCGATGGCCCGCCAATCCCGCTCGCGTACGTGTGCTGGCGCAAGATGAAGTTTACCGTACCAATTGTGCGTCTTTCGTTCAAGATGGAGTGCGATCCTGTGCTCCTGACTGACAATAGCTGATAGGACCCGGTATTGAGACGTCGATGACGGTAGCGAGTAGCGGGGGCTTCTCTATGGAGGCGAAAATTGTATGTCTTGCTCTGTGCGAAGGCGAAGCTGTTGCTAATCCCTTTGCTCGGACCCTCTCTTTCACGTTGAAGGTGATGCGTAATTGCAGGCAGCTACGTGATCGGATAGTGATTTACACGGAAACATGCGTCAATCAACTGGTTTTATTGGGCACGTCACAAGGTCTCCATATGCTTCAGCTCCTTCTCTACGATTTTTTCGACGTGCACCGCAAGTGGTAGCTCAGTCATGACTTGCGAGTCAACGCTAAGGTTCTAGAACATGACGATTAGATAACAGTGCACACAAAGAGAGCGGCGCCCGCTTACCATTGCGCGCCTCATATCTACATGGGTAACGCGCCTGGTGTTTGTGTCTCCCGGGCTGTTCGGACTTGGCAGAATGAACTTCGGCTTGACCTTGGTACCGCCACCAACACCGGTATTCAAGCTGATGTGGACATGGGAGGTAGTCAGAGAAGCACACCGGTACAGAAGAAAAGTCGTACAATCCTAGAAGAGCGTTTGCGTACACTTAACAACAATCTCAGCTCAGCCATCTTGAAGTCATGGTGGCAAGACGAGACGTACTATTACTATACGGGAAGAAAACTCCGTATGGTATCAGAATCACTCTCGGGGTCAAGGGTGAGTAACACCCACCTCCCAAAAAGATAAAGTCATTCGGGCGGCAAATTCTCTGTGGGTAATGATTCAGGTGAGCTGAACCGCACATGTCTAGGGTTGCAAAGCTTCAGCTTACCACGATAAGGGTGAGAAATATCTCTATCCTGCGCCAAAGATCAGCATCGCGAATGCCAACAAAGAAGTGATTTTAGTTTACAAGCAGAACATTCCGGTGTTGGACATGAAGATTACGGGTGCGGTGATTAAGTAGTCCCAGCTGAAGAGTAAACCTTCATTATCCACTGCACTCAGGAATATTAATCGTGCTTTACCTGTACAAGGGCGATCTCCGCGCACGGCTGAGATAAATCGACAACATTGCGGTGATCCCTAGGTTCGTGCAAGCATCAAAGGCAATACTAAGGCAGATGAGCCACTTCGAAACACCGATAAATCCCACAGTAAATATCAGCAACGAATAGGACGTACGTTGTCGGAGCTGAGCTGATCAAACTGCTTGATGGTGGTACTATGCGACACGCGCATAATTCAGACTGCAGATGATTCTTAGCATTGAGCTCACCTCTTCCCAGCTAAGGCTATTCCATGCAGGTTCAGCGCTCTGTGCACGAAGCATTACTGCACGGTCATACCGGTTATAAGACCTGAAGATGACAGGTTCGTGCGAAGCGCCGATATTGAGCATGGTATAACCACAGAACAGAACGGTGGTACACACAGCAAGTGGTAACGACACCGAAACCCTGTAGTTGTGCCATAATGTGAGCCTACAATGAAATTACGACGCGCAGTGTAACTCACTAGAAGAGTGATGATGGAACGATTTTTTCCGGAGCCTTGGCCCGTAACATTGTTTTAAACACGGATTCGTAGTGTGCAAAACAGACTCACATATCCAGATACGCCAGACAAGCCAGCTGTAGGCTCATTGACATCAATTTTGATATCTGCTGACATAATATATGGAGACAAACCCTTGTACAATGCCATTGCTCCATGCCTGTTCCATCCTCAGTATGGTACAGACCGGTGCTCGACACCATATGGGACGTACAGTGCAAATGAGGGTAACCTACAGGTATAATCTCAATATCATCATCAAGTCTCGTGTATGCTATACATACTGTTATCTTCCTGTGGTATATGCGTGCTACGTTAGACCAGAACCCTCAGAAGGTAGAGCTAATGAGAGACGAACCAGTTTACTGCGTCATATAAAAGTTGTCGAAGATCGCCGAAATTTGTCACCATGGCACTACGGTCTGGTCAGCGAAACAATACCCTTGAATCACTCTTCATTAGCCAAGGGGATACTTACGCGTAGCATAGCCAGATCAAAGAGAATAGGTTGAAAGCGTTCAAGAACCTACATGCATCGGGTTAAAATTGCTTGCTACGAACATTATGCTGCAATACACACCATATTGATGCTATCTACCTCCCGATATCAGCTTCCGAAGGGACGATCAACTACCGGTGTGAGAAACACTCACCAGAGCTCGTTTTATCCAGCCTTCCTGCAACTCGGCTGTCCGTCTGAAGAAGAGGCAACATTGCAGGCAGAGCATACCAAAGAAGCTGAAAACCAAATGTGAATCACAGAAAATCATGCGAGCTCGTGAGACTAACATAGCAGTTACCACTGTACCTATCAGGTAAGGTCCAAGGTATGGGTCGGGCGATATAGGAGTGTTGGCTTGCATACTGCCTGGGCAAAATAGGGGGACGGCCAATATGATAGGGTAGCACTGGCGATGGTGGACCCCTACCTATCTATGTATCTGCTTACACGGCGAGTTCCTGGTGGAGAAGTTATCTGTCGTAGGTAGATGGGAGTTAGCATCACGAGAGGCACGCTGCAATCAGCTAAGTCGTTGGCATCTCACCGTGAAACATCGCGTATCGCCCGCAACCCTTGGTACTCCCACATCTCCAACACTAGAAGCAGATGGTAGAAATGGCGGTGTATGCACTGTTGATCGCTGGAAGAGCCAGGTGGCTCTAAGTTTGATGCGAAGTCCAGGCAGTGTTAGCTGTTTGCATACTGTGATGGGGAATTCAGGCAATCAAACGAAATATTAGCCTTGCTCTGTGATGGCGTGTGGGACAGCTCTACGGCTGTCTTCTGCACTAACAAGTTTACAGTCAGATCAGCCGCAGGTGGTACGAGTTCGAACGCGAAGAGTTGTTGTCCATACTGGGCAGTTCGAAGACAATCGATATGATTGACTCTGGCGCTCGGGCAGACGAGAGATCCTGAGTACCCTCTCAAGCAGTGCTTTGTGCACGCACATTGCACACCGCCATGCAAACAGCTGGCGCAAAACGCGCCAAGAGATAAAGCCTGAAGGTCGGCCAGTGATAAACTTGGTGTAGGGCTACGTAACGATACATGGATTAAGTTAGGGCAGAAGCAGAACGACTTTCACTGGCACATCACAGCGCCGTCTTGAACTTCCCCACCCCTACAACAGTTTGCACCCTCCCGCCTACTGCGCTCCTTATCCTTGGAATCTGGAAGGCCTTTCGTATCATACAGAGCGTCCTGCACCCCATGACGCGTGTCAGCATGTCCGCAGGTTGCGTGCGCCACTTTTATTCTGCCCTCTCCGCTAGCTGAGTCCTGGACGATCTCCGACCCAGAAATAAGTTTGGACTTTGACTTGTCACACAATTGTACACCGTGAGCATCAACCCTGGTTTCCTTGCCGATCCCATAACACTTATGCACTTGCAGACAGAGGTGGCCAAGGGATCTTGCACCCCACGACGCGTATTGTTTCGCCTGGAGGCCCAGTGCGCGGCTGGAGTGGCGAGTAGGAAGGAGAATGAGAGAGGATACAGTCATCAGGGATAGGCTCACCCAAGCGCACCAGACCGCAGCTGGAACCGGCCGCCTCTGCGTGCATCACGAGGTCGCACTCTCCCCGAGCCGCATGCATTCCGGCCCGATTTCTAGCCTATCACGTCCGGCAAAAGTCAGCGTAGCTGCTCTCGGGCCAGGTGCGTTTAAGTTTCTCCCTTTCATCGCAGCGCACTCCGGCTGGCGTAGCTAGGACTGCGAGGGACTATACTTGACCGTTTGGGCTTGAATTTCTGCGATATCTGAGCCGCCTACCAGCACAGACAGACCTTCTGTATCACGGAAGCGAGGTAGTTGCTCACCAATCCCCAAGCGAGTTTTCTTCTTTTTCCTTTTCTTCTTTTTCTTCCTCTTTTTTCCTTTCTGCGTTTGCCCTCTCCCCCCTGGACAACCCATCGAATTTTCGCTGCCTTATGGCGGCTGCTTTATACTGCGCTTCCACGCAAGCCGCGCTTCCATCTCGCCCTCAGCCCTAATGGTCCACAATACATCAGTATGAGGCCGTGATTGAACTTAGACTTCATCTTGATAGTGATATCACAGGTATATATCTTCCAGCGAAGGACGTTCGACAGAACCAAATGATCACTCTATCACAGGTTCATTGCTAAAGCTTGCACTTTAGGTTGATGTCTGACAATTGGTGGAGTAAGAACCTGTTGACGGTCGACAGCCTGAGAGTCTGAGACCAAATATTTGTTACGATGTCGTGCCCTATAACACCGACGTTGAGTACGAACTTGCAGCAGCTGGCTTCACTTCATTACCTACCGACACGGCGTCTGTTCCTTCCTACCAAGAACTATGTCCAATACGACGTGGACGCACGGCATGTGAGTGGGAGCAGCTTATCTCAGGCTATTCTCGATCAATCATGTGGCTAAATGGCTTCATTCCGTCATAGACAGGTCGGGGACTGGATTGCTGGTGGAGTGGCTGGTAAGCTTGCTCAGTATCGACAGTTGGAATCTTAGTTGCTGATATCGGACTTACTAGCCCTGACTATCTTCGAGTACATAATCACGTTTGGGCAAGAAGTAGATGCTGTATGGCAGAGTGCTTGGACAGCCACCTCTGTGCTCTTGTTCTCAACACGTTATGCGATGATAGCCAACGCCTTTCTATTTTTTGTGCCAAATACATCACACGTACGTCTTTCTTATGCCACTCGAATGCAATGCCAGTGACAGCTGTGTCTACAGAAGTACGCTCATACTTATGCATTTCCTACGCAACTAAAGGAATCTGTAGCTGTGAGTTTATCGCCGAGCTTAGCTTAGCATTGAGCTGCGTCATATACCTCCAAATTGCTAGTATGTCTATTTGCGATACACTCGTTGGCGTGCTAGAATGCTGAGTTTCGGGTCTATGTTGATTAGTATTTGCCGCTCTTCGGGTTTATGCTATGAAGCCACAAGCAATCCGGCTATCCGTCGCTGCACTTCTAACCGGGATAGTTCCCGTAGCAACTAACATCGTACGTATATATCTCATACTTGAACTACCATGGGGCTAATCATTACATTTATTATAGTTTGGAGCTGTCAAAACGCATTATGGTACACTTTGCATAGTTACAAAAGACATCTCCGCTACCGAGAATACTACGTAAGTTCGAAGTACTCTTATTGAACACTTCACTGCGATCCTAATCAACCTTAGACGTATGTTCTACATACCGTGTCGATCATGCGACACCTGTGTCTAACGATGAAATTACACTTAGTCTTGATACTCACGCGGGGATCCGTTGTCATAGTGGAATCTCTGGTCTTCATCCTGACGTGGCAAAAAACATTCCATCAGTGGAGAACGGCAACAAGGCTAAAAATTGCGCTACCCCTCTCAGTATATTTTCTGCGCAATGGTAAGCAGTGGGCTTCCTGCGTGTTGCCCCATTATGACTCTGAAATTCCACAGGCATGTATCATTTTCTGTAAGCATAATTCTTCACAACCTTGTCAAGACACTCAAAGACACGGTAGTCCGATGCAGGACACTTTTACTCACAAATGTCACCGAGATGGTCACGTATCAATATGTGAGTAATTTAGCCACCCTCAAGAACTATTAAATTCTAATGACAATATCCAAGCCTTCCACCCCAGCCCAGTCTCTTACGCACTGTCTTGTACGTGCTCGCTCTTAGTTCAAAGCACGCGTTGCCAATTAAGCATTCTTCCAGCCACCTATTCTGCTCAGTCGATTCTTGCTCAATCTGCGCCAAGTCTGCATCGGTCCCAATACTCATACAACCAGTCCTGTGTATTCCGGGATTATTGGGAACATTGGCGAGGATTTCGAAGCCTCAGATCAGGCTATGTTGGAGGAGGACGAGGCAGAAGCCGCCAACGACGACCCCAGGAGCACAGGGACCTTGGCTGTCGTGTGAAGGCTGAAAAACGGGGACCGGCAAGTATCAGTTATCTTATGCATGCTTGGGTGCTAATCCGCAGCCAGCTGATTGAAGGAGGCCTGTAGTCTGCCGCTGAAACCGTGACATTGGCATCCGGCTCTTGTACTTTCTATACCATTAAAATCGCAGCGCGATTGTGACTCTCGTTATGTATCGTAATTTATGGTGATTTCTTTTTCCGCAAGTACTGAACATGTTTACGCGGCGAAATCAACAGGTGCAGGTGACAACTATGGAGCTCAGTTGTCACTAGCACGTACGGCTATAGATATTCATGCCGTCAGTATTTCTGCCCTGGACTCTACCGGCTCGTTGATATCCTCGTTCGGAGCCTTCGCATCAACCTGCAGTCTATGCCAAAAGAGTGGTCGGTAATCGATGTGCGAGGCTCGAGCATTGTGAGCACTTCGACTTCGCTATCGAACTTTACAATGACGTAAACGCGTCTGGGGACATCTTTGGCGCAGGATTGGCGCATCGTGGGGAATGTCGAGGAAGAGCGTAAGCCGCACAAATCATCCCGCGAGGTTGACGTGCGAGCCGCCGACGAGCACCGTCGTGCTAGCAGCCTTGCCAGACTTGACGGAACCTAGGGCGCAATGAAAGGCGTCGGGTTGATGGCAGAAAAGAGAAGGGCAGAGTACAGACCCGACGACACGTCGAGCTCGCCTCGTAGATGAGCGGCCCTCTGCGCCACGTCCAACCTCCACATCAGTTTTGGCTCGAGCCGGAATGGACTTGGCGCACCAAATACTCGCAGTTTCGAGCAGTTCCACGACAGCATTCTTCTCGTCCATCGCGAATACGGGGCTCTTCTCGCGGAGCTCATGCGTCACGTGTTTCAGACTCGTCCGCGCTGCTATTTTTCGGTCTTCTTGCCGATGGCCTCGCTGCCCATAGCTCGCAGCCGCATCGCCATTCTGCACGGCGTCGAGGCCACCTTCCGCGAAATTGGATTTCTTGACGGACGTGGAGAGGAGAGCGGTAAAGCTCCAGCTGCTTCACGATTACCCATCTCATTCGCGATTTTCTAGCGAGAAGACGACTGCAGAGCAAGGCAATGATCAGAGGGCGAGTTTGGAGAGCTAGAGACTGACTGCGGTTACAGATACGACACATTAATTACCCTCTCATCTACAAAGACAAGAAGACCCACGAATACACTGGCAGGCCTGCGACGAGTACATTCAAGCCCGTCTGCAGTCCGGAGATAACAGGTTAGCTGCCCTCCCGATGCCGCCCCGAGGAGCTGGATCACCTTGTCAGTCCGACCGCGGCAAGGACAGTACTTGCCATGGTTAAGTAGGGCTGACTGACCATCGATGCCATCGTCACGTCCCAGTGGCGGGAACCAGGCCCCGTTCCGGCATTCTCCGTTGTAGCGCCGAACCTCGCTAGCGCCCGAATTGCGACTTCCCACACACGTCGTCACCAACTTCAATTCTCGCTATATATACGGCTTGTGAGGTATATAACGGCTACGAGAACGTCAGTGGAATGGCGCCATACACAAATTTGGGGTGGGTTATACTTCTTTCGTCTGTGGACATAGCGCTTTGCGCTGGTGACATCGGAGCTGTGAACGCAGTCACGATCCCCGCATATTGTCGTCCTGGCATAACCTTTGACACATGGACACATGGTTTTTGTCACTTAGACGAACACATGTCTTATCCGTATGCGATGAAGCACAGACGAAGCAAGCGGGAGAGTCTTATTTTCGTGAGCCGGGTGAGCACATGACTATATCTCCACGCAAGAGAAATCTGATATGTCAACGTCCTGCAGAGATCGTGTATAAACGACAACTGCGAGGAATATTTGAATCGATGCGCCGTTCCTCATCACGTCTAAAACTTGTCTCTTCGTATAGAGACTCTTCTCGTACAGCATATATCGATGCAAGCGGAGTATCTCTGCTCGTACCCACACGGACTTTACAGTTACGTGCATAGAAGATCGAATTTTCTGTTTATATATAGCTGACACGTTAAGTTGTGCTGTAATCGTACGTCTTGGCACATCATAGCTCACGCCGTGTTCCAGGTCGTGGTAAACATGTGCGTGAGGATACAGCCCCCCCTGCCTCCGACACTCACTGATACCCTTTACTTGTCATGCAGCTGGTATTATCAGTGAGCAATATTTAGCTTTGTCTCGTACCAGGTTTATTGATAAGACGGTCCCTGGTTCACGAAATCTGGACTAGTGCTGTCGCGTTATCCATTCGCCGTATCGTAGTACGTCCTATCAACGCTTACTACTGCTGATCAAGTTAGTCATGCGCGATCTTCTGTAATTACTAGAACTCGCGAACCGCTCGGCGTCGGCATTTACAGGCATCCCAATTACTATCCGCCTTGCAAGCTAAAGAGACTTGTGCCATACTAGTTTCCGCAAGTACGACCCTTATCCGCCTGCGCACCCTCGCCGCTCCACTGGCCACTGATGGCCACCAAGCTCGGGACGGCTCACCTGTCCGGCTATCGTCAGTCAGGCACACAGGATCGCATTTCGTCGCAAACAGAAGATGTACATTTGGTCTGACTAAATTAACTTTGCGCCGGCATACATACATGAGTGGGATCGGCGGACCTCCGAGGCTACAGCCAGACTGAGCGCACGAGTAGCCGTGCATTGCATCGGAGCTTGCGAAGGCTGTATCGAGATAAAGCACTGCAAGCGGGTACTTACACGAATCTAACGAGAGATCTATCGCGCTCGACGCGACCTGCAGCGTCGGCGTGAGTATGATGTATAGTGCAGTTATAGTGGCAGGTTGGATCCGGTGTTAGACGTCGATGGCGGCAATAGCGAGCAGTGGGGGCTCCTCTATGGAGGCAAAAACGATATACCTTGCTCCGTGCAAAGGCGAATATGTTGCTGATCGTTTATGTTCAGACATTCTCTTTCACGTCGCTAAACTAGTTACACCCGCGCAGCTGGCCTCGGATGGCGATAGACGAGACGCTTTCCTTTTGTTATTAAAAAAATAATGACCATTCTATGGCTAAGACTCGGGGAGCATTCGTGTTAAGGTAATGCGTAATTGCGGGCAGCTATATGAGGGGGGATAGGTAGTGATTTACATGGAAACATGTGTCGATCAATTGACTTTCTTGGGCACGTCACAAGGTCTCCATGTGCTTCAGCTCCTTCTCTACAATTCTTTCGACGTGTACCGCAAGTGGCAGCTCAGTCGCAACTTGCGAATTAACGCCAAGGTTCTATAACATGACGATTAGATAACAGTGTACACAAAGAGAGCGGCGCCCACTGACCATCGCGCGCCGCATATCGGCGTGGGTGACGTGCCTGGTGCTGGTGTCTTCAGGGCTGTCCGAGTTTGACAGAGTGAACCTCGGCTTGACCTCGGTATTGCTTCCAACACCGGTATTCAAGCTGACGCGAAAGTAGTCAGAGGAGCAGATAGACGCGAAAGAGAAGTCATACAAGCCCAGAAGAGCGTTTGCGTACACTCAACGGCAATTTCAGCTCAGTCATCCTAAAGTTAGGGTGGCATGACGAGACGTACCGGTACTGTACGGGATGAGAACTCCGTATGATATCAGAATCGCTCTCTGTGCCAAGGGACACTAGCACTCACTTCCCCAAAAGATAAAGTCATTCGGGCGACAAATTCTCTATGGGTAATGACCAGGTGAGCTGCATTGCACACGTCTAGAATTGCAAAGCCGTAACTTACCACGACTAGGGTGAGAAGTATCTCTATCCTGTGCTAAAAATTAGCGTCGCGAATGCCGACAAAAGGGCGACCTCAACTTACAAGCACAATATTCCGGTATTGGACATGAAGACCACAGGTGCGGTGATTACGTAGTCCCAGCTGAAGAGTAAACCTTTATTGTCCATTACACTCATGAACATTGAGTGTGTTTACCTGTACAAGGGCGATCTCCGTGCCCGGCTAAGATAAATTGACAACATTGCTGTTATCCCCAGGTTTGTGCAAGCATCACAGGCAATATTGAGGTAGATGAGCCACTTCATTACGCCAATAAATCCAACAGCAAATTTCAGCCATAAATAAGACGTACATTGTAGGAACTGAGCTGAGAAAAGTGTTTGATGGTGGCACTGTGTAATACGCGCATGAGCGGTGATCCGGGCTGCAGCTGCGTCTCAGCATTGAGCTTACCTCTTCCCAGCTAAGGCTATTACATGCAGATTCAGTACTCTGTGGACGAAGTATTACTGCATAATCATACCGGTTGAAAGACCTGAAGATGATAGATTCACATGAAGTGTCGATATTGAGCACGGTAAAGCTTCGGAGCAGAACGACAGCACACACAGCAAGTAGTAACGACACCGAAGCCCTGTAATTGTGCCATGATGAGAGTCTGCAATACAGTTACGATGTGCAAAGTAACTTACTAGAACAGCACAGACGGAACGATTTCTTCCAGAGCCTTGACGCATTCAATAGCTATCAGCACAGATTAATAACATTTAAACAGACTCACACATCCAGATATGCCATGAAAGCCAGCTGTAGGCTCATTGGTATCAAATTCAATATCGGCTGAAGTAATTTATGGAGACAAACCCTTGTGCGATGACTTTGCTCCATGCCTATTCCATCCTCAGTATGGTACAATTGCCAAGTCTTCGTCATCATACAGGACGTACAGTGCAAAGGAGGGCAGCCTGCAGATACATCATCAGTATTAATATCAGGTCCTGGGCACGCTATACGCACTGCTATACTCCTGTGGTATAGCGCACCATGTTGGGCCAGAATTCTTAGAGGGTACGGCTCATGAGAGACGAACCAGTTTATTGCGCCATATAAGAATTGTTGTAAATCACCGAAATTTGTCACCATGGATCTGAAGCCTGGTCAGTAAAACAATGTCCTTGTCTCACTCCGCGTCAGCCAATCGAATGCTCACGAGTAGCATAGCCATATCAAAGAGAATAGATTGAAGGCGTTCAAGAGCCTACGTGCATCAGGTTAAAACTGCTTGTTACGGGAATTATGCTGCAATACGTGCCATATAGATGCTATCTACCCTCCGGATATCAGCCTCCGAAGGGACAATCAACCGTGCAAACTACTCACCAGAGCTCGTTTCATACAGCCTTCCTGCAACTCGCCTGACTGTCTGAAGAAGAGGTAACATTGCAGGCAGAGTATGCCAAAGAAGCTGGCAACTACATGTGAATGACAGACATTTATGCGAGCTCGTGAGACTAACATAGCAGTTACCACTGTGCCTATCAGGTAAGGTCCAAGGTATGGGTCGGGTGATATAGAGGGGGTTGCTTGCATACTGCCCAGGCAAAATAGGGGAGACGGCGAATATGATAGGGTAGCATCGGCAGTGGCAACTACCTACCTATGTATCTGCTTACAGAGTAAGTTACCGGTGGAGAGGTTAGCTGTAGTATGTAGACGGGAGTTAGCATCACGAGAGGCCCGCCGCAATCAGCTAAGTCGTTGGGATCTCACCGTGAAACATCGCGTATTGCTCGCAACAGTCGGTACTCCCGCATCTCCAGCGATAGTATCAGATGACAGGAAAGGCAGCGTATGCACCACTGATCACTGGAAGAGCCTGGTAGCTCCGGTCCTGATGCGAACTCCAGGGAATAGTATCAGCTGCTAGTGTTTGCGTGCTGCGGTGGGGAATTTAGGCAACCCAAATGTGATCTCAACCTTGCTCTATCATGGCGTACAGGAGGCGGTGCGCGGGCTTGATGACAGCTGTCTTCTGCACATTTGCAGTCAGATCAGTGTTAACCATAATGGGCAGTTTGAAGATAATGAGCCGATATGGCTAATCTCGGCGCTCGGGCAGGCGACTCGGAATACAGTACCGTCCGGCGTCCGCGATCCTGAGTACGCTGTGGCTCTTGGCAGGCGAAGCTTTGCGCACGTATATTGCACACCGTCATGCAAACAGCTGGCGCTTTCGGCGCCAAGTGATAAAGTTTAAAGGTTATCCAGCGATAAACTGAGTGTAGGAGTGTAACGATACACGAATTAAATTAGGGCAGAAGCGGAACGACTTTCACTGGCACATCACAGCGCTGTCTTGAGCTTCTCCATCTCTACAGTCGTTTCGACGTGCACGGTAAGCGGTATGTCAGCTCTGGTTTGCAAGCCCACACCGTCGTCCTGAAAGGCGAAAGTTCAGTAAAACGCGCGCGAAAGAGGCGGAGATGGTTGACCTTCGCGTGCTGTATCTCGGCATGTATGGCGAGCTCGGTGCTCGGATCTATGGGACTACTTAGGCCCCTCAGCTCGAATCTTTGTTTGGTCTTGTCGCAACTGCCTTCGGCGATAAATCTAGTGTTCAGGCTATAGTCGACACAATAGACTCGTCAGAGAGGCACCTCCGCATCGTCTGTCTGCACTTACAATCCTAGAAGAGCATTGGCATACACTTGTTTGAAGGGTGAGCTTAGGAATGATTGAAGTAAAAATGGCATGGTCAGACGCACTGGTGCCGTAAGGGATGTAGACTATGGGATGTCACTAATTAGAATCGTTCTCCAAACTAGTCGTAAGGACAAGCGGAACTCACATCCGAGAAATAGGAAGTCGTTCTGGCGCAGGAGTCTCTGAGATATAATAGTTGTGTGAGCTGCGTACATCTGTCATCTTACACAGAGAGGTGCCTACGAGGAGAAAGACAAGAAGGATCATAGCCCTGCACCACTGATCAGTGTCGTTATCGTCAGCGGGGAGATGAGCTTACAAGCAGAAAACACCGGTATTGGACATGTATATCACGGGAGCGGTGATTAGGTAGTCCCACCTGCCATGCAGACCGTCACCATCTATTCATCTATTCAAAACCTGTCATGTGTTACCGGTATAAAGGCGATCTCCGCGCCCGGCTCTGATAGAAAGACAAGACCGCAGTAATGCACAGGTTCGTGCAAGCTGCGGAAGCGATGCTGAAAAAGAAGAGCCACTGTGAAGTGCAAATGTACTTCAGTTCGCCCATAGACAGCCTCAAAAAGACGTGACATACACTTATGGAACTACTGAGCGCCGTTTCGATTTGACCTGAGGCGGCACTATAAAGTACCATCGTGATCATGTTGTAGATAGACTTGCGTTGAGCTCACCTCTTGCCAACTAGGCCTGAAGGGGGTGTTTAATCGTGATGATCATGTGAGATGGCTGTTAGGTTATACCTAACATGATAGCTAACAATAAGGGATGAGAATGAGGCGCAGTTAATGAGCACGTCAGAACGGCAGTACGCACAGCAACTGGCAATGACACCGAAGCTCTTAATAGGACATGACTCAGGTTAAATATTATCGAAGCACGTGCCATAACTCACCAGAACAGCGGTGAGCATTCGATTTTTGCCTGAGACTTGTGGGTAACGATAAGCATTGCATGACGGTAGGCCTGGATGAAGTGTCAACTTACATATCCAAATACACCAAACAAAGCATCTGCAGGCGTAGTGTCAACGATAACGGCCGATAAATGGCGCAGGCAAGAACGGACCCTTGTACGATGCTATCGCTCAACGCCTATAGCTGCAGTCAGTATGATTTCATTTGAAGTTCGGTGCAAGACGCACAGTGCACACAAAAAAAGCCTGAGCAGATTCTCTCAGTATTGTCGTCAAATTTTGGATGGGTTGCACTCACCACGAAGCTCCTTCAGAATGGCATATCTGATGTTTAAGCATATGTACCTGAGAAGCACACTGGTTCGGGACGGACCATGGTATTGTGCCAATTAGCCCCCTCTCCAAATCATCGAAATTTGTCACCATATATCTAAGGCCTTGTTGGATACAACAAATTAACAAAGAAAAGAAACACGCACAGGTAGCACGTCCATATCGAAGAGAACAGGCTGAAGGAGCTTAGGAGCCTAAGCATACCGTTCTCAGTATCGTGCAATCAACACTTCACAATCAGACACACCATATCGCTGCAATCTGCCAGTCGACTCTTAGGGTCAAGCTGAGCAGTCAAGTATAGAAGTCACTCACTAGCGACCGTGCCAGTGGGTGCTTGCGCAATCCGCCTGACTGCTTGAAGAAGACATAACATTGCAGACAGAGCATGCCGAAGAAGCTGATAATAAATGTGTGAGTAATCGAGAGCTTCTTGCAAGCATGTAAACTGACATAGCGGAGACCACCGTGCCTATCAGGAAAGGCCCGAGATACAGGCCTGGGGACGGACGCAGGTTGCTCTGCATGTTAGTTAGGGGGCCTGGGGTCACTGAGGGAGAGAGAGTCTATGTACATTCCCTAAGCGCATAAGGTTCATTATAAGGCATGCTCTGGAATGATAAGTATCAAAATGTCATGGCAAGATTCGTTCATCACAGAGCACAGCGGTGGAGTATCACGAAGGGTGTGCTGCAATCAGCTGGAAGCTAATATCTCACCATTGTACATCTGACATCACCAACAACGTCGTTACGTACCCCGCCATCTCTAACAGCAGAGACAGACGGTGAGAACAGCGACGCATCTACTCCTAGGCCGCGCGTTGCGGCAGAGCATAGCCCTACTTCCTATGCAAAGTCTGCTGAAACAACGTCAGAACAGGGCGCTGCAACTGCCCAGACACCTTATTTCCGAGCTTAAAGGACCAGGGACTT